CAAGCTCCACATTGAGAGTGCCCCTTAAAGGTGCTAGCTCTTGAGACAGCTCTCCTCAACTCAGATCCTCCCCTTTCTTCATAATTTCCTTCCCATCCCCAAATCATTATGTTCCATTAATATTGTATGTACATTGTATACACAGGAAGGACATGTAATTTTTTTGTTTCATAACCAGTCTGTTTTTATTTCAGTCCTCCTAGTTATCTCACATGTATCTTTTTGATATGCCCTTTGTGCTTTTTGATTGAGGGGAAAGCGGGGAACAGGACAAGGGTGCTAAGGCAGACTAACGGAGCCCCACCTCACGACAGCTTTCCAAGGCCTTGTCATCCCTTTCACAGTATCGCTGAGAGCGCTCTGTTGGCCTGTGATGTGCATACAGACATATAGACCCACTCACCACCCCAATGAGATGAGCCAGTAGGAATGGACATAGGTGGCTACTTGGCAACACTTCACCCTCTGTACTAGTTCATTCATCTCTCTTTGCAGTAAAAATCCTACCCCAGAGTGAGAAAAGGCTAAGGAGAGTAGGATAAGTTAAAGCAGCTTATGTCCTTTACAGGAGCAGGTTTAAATTGTAGCTACTAGGGGGTTTCTTTTATTTTTAATGGGGATGTGGTGGGGTGCGGTGGGAGAGACTGGTAGTACAGGAATATCTCACCAGCATTAGCTACTGGTGAGTGTTTTAACTGCATGAAGCGGCTCTGAGCACCAGTTTCATTGGCTTTACCTTAGGGAAGTGATTCCTCTAAATGTGAGCCAGAACCAGCAACAGCATCATCAGCTGGAAACTTGTTAGAAATGTAAATTATCAAGCCCTTCCCAGACCTGCTGAATCAGAAACTCATGGGGTGAATTTAACAAGCACTCCAAGTGATTCTAATCACAACTAAAGTTTGAGAGTCTCTGCCTTAAGGACAAACTGGGAAATTTTTACAGGGTATCAAGGACATGTTAAATTCCACTCTCTGCCTTAGCACTTTGATATTTTTTTTCATTTTCTCCAGTCCTTCCCTCCCTCCAGTCCCATTAAAACAACCACATCACTGATCTCAATAGCTAGGTAATCTTTCCCGTCTTATCCCTGAATCATCTTCCTAGGTCAGTCTGGTCAGAGACTGTCCAGTGTTCCCTTGCAGATTGGTCACTCCATGTTCTTTGTTACATTAAGGACCAGCTGGAGCTTTCGCTGCTGTATTTCTTCCATACACACACACACACTTCAGGCAGGAAGGAGATGAGTTTAGCCCAAACAGCAGAGGCTGCAGCATTCTGACACAGTATCTGTTTAAAAGAAAGCAGTGTGTATCTATGATTATATCTCTGTTCATCTATATATCCTTGACATGTAGCAACACCTCTCCATCTCATCAAGGAACTTAACTCTGGGTATGGGTCCCCCCAGTGCCCAATGGTGGTCTTTGAATGGTGGGAGGATACAGTGCTACAGGCTATTTTGTTACAGACTGTCTTTCCCCTTCTCCCCTCACCCAAGTCCGCATGATCCCTGTGAGCAGGCTCTCACAATCTCCTGGGACGTGGTTGAGGCAGGAGCTTTGCTCTATGCTCACTCACCGTCCCTTCTTCCTCCTCCCTTGCCACTTAGCAGTTATTGCCCCAGCCAGGCCTTCCCCCTGCCTCCCTTCCCCTGACATATATTGTGCCTTATTTATGCTGCAAATATAACATTAAACTATCAAGAGAATCACTGTTATGTCTGGTGCATCAGTACTCTTATAAAAGTCCCATTGCGCACTATTTCTGGGAACTCACTGGGCTTTCACGTCTGTCTCCCTATTATAAGGTTTGAAGGAGAGGATATTCTTGTCACTGCTTTTAATAAAAGAAGGACACAACCTAGATAAGGTGGATGATTTCTATAAATTGTAGAGCACAACAGAAAACATGAGCTCAGATCTCTGTGCCCCCCACACACAATTGTGAGAACATTCACTGGAGAATTAATGTGTGCTTTATGTGTATGAGGATGGGAAGGTGGCCTCTTATCTTTTAGTGTTTTGTCCCCACACCACTCCTAACAAGTCCTATCTTCAAGAAGTTTCCAGCCTGACTAGGGAGACAAGGATTGAAATGTGCATATAAAACAGAAAGTAGAGTTCTAATGAAGGGGCGGAGAACCTTTTTTCTTCCAAAATTTATAACAGCATTTGTGCAGGCATACAAAATTATCAACTTAAAAATTTGCCTGCTATATTTGGTCAAACATTTAATTAACTCACTTGGTGTGGTGCTGCATGATAACGCAAAAGTTTGAGCTTCAAGATCAGCAGTTCAAACCCACCAGCCGCTCCTTGGAAACCCTATACAGAGTCACTAAGAATTGGAATCAACTCAATGGCACTTAACAGCAACAAATGTGATGGCTGGGACTGTGGATGCCTTGGCAGGGTCAGACAAAATAATTTCACAAGCCTTATATGCCTTGTGGGCTGGACATTCCCCACCCCTGCTCTAATGGAGTGTATGGATTTGGGGAAGAGGTTGTTCTGGAAATGAGAGGTGGAATTTGTGTAGAAGGCTTTATAATTATTGCAAGTAAGGACCATGAGCCAGGCTGGAGAATTTGGCAAAGCTAACATGTGCCTCTCAGGGCTTCCCAAGAGGAGAGAAATGCTTTAAAAGCTCTTCATCAGTGATCTTTTGTAGATAGCTGACATAGATAGGGAGCCTGAACCTCCTTGGGAGAGTGGGAAAGGTAGCGGTGTCCACTGTGTTGTGGACAGAACCCCTTAAGGATCAAGAAAGGGGTAAGAAATTAAGTGGCTGAAAGCCAAATACCAGAGCCAAGATTAAAAGATTCTGAGGTAGGAAATGAGATTCCGAAGGCAGAGCAGATTACCAAATTATCAGAAGTAACTCATTCCAATTTCTTATCAAAGGAAAGACTAACTCATCTCCATCCTGGCCATAAGACACCAGCTTGACCAGCCCGTTTCTGAATGCAGCCTCAGATCAGACCCACTTGTGATTGGTGGTCAGAACTATTAAGAGAAATAGCAGAGTAGTGAACATTTGAGTGCCTGCTCTGTGCTAGGTGCTTTGCATTGTCATTTTCTGTTCACAGCTGCCTCTTGATCAATGAGTAGTTGCCTCATTTTACGGATGATGAACTAAGGTTTAGGTCAAAATAGTTACCCAAGCGTAGACAGAAGTGCTAGAGCTAGGATTAAAACTTGAGTTCTGACACTGGAGTCACTAGGACCTTTCCAATGTCTCAGGCATCCTCACAACCCTATTCCTCTGTACCATTGTCAGAATAGGCAGTGCAAGATCTACCTCCCTCTGAAGAATCATCTATCCTGGACTTACTACGTTTTCAAGACACAGTCAACCAAAAAAAAAAAAAAAAAAAAAACTACATGACGTGATGTAATCATGTAATGATGATGACTGTCAGATTCTATGCTTGGGACCAACTATGAGACAAGCCTACAAAAAGGCTCACCTTAGCTTAGGCTGCATGAATAGACAGTATCTGGAATGTGGTGCTGTAGAATAAGCACTGAACTGTTAACCACAAGTGTCAAACTCAACAGCTGCTCCTCAGAAGCTCTATATAGTGAACTGAACTGCTAACAAGGTCACTATGAGTTGAAAGCTACTTGATGGCACTTCACAACAACAGGACATCACACCTAGAACAAAACCTACCTTTATCTACAAATCTGAAGTATAAACTGGTTTCTAGGTGTCATGTTTTAAAGAGGTGGAATGTTTCCCTTGAGCAGAAAATACTAGAGTGAAAGAATGAATTGTCTTCAAACATATGAAGAGTTCTTATACTTGAAAGAGATTAGAAAATTGTGGGATACAATGGGACAAACTGAATAATCTCTGGTAGCCTCATAGGGAGACTGAACCCAGTTTGGCACAAGAAAAAAACTGCCTGAAGACTCCCAGAAAATAAGTCCCTAGGGATGGGAGTGTGTGAAGGTAATGTTTTGAGAACTTCTGTGCCATGGCAGATCCTGTGCTGAATGGATTACAAAAAGAGAACTGCAGGGTCAGCAGTTCAAAGTCACCAGCTGCTCCTTGGAAACCTTATACACGATCACTGTGAATTAAACCGACTCGGCTGGCACTTAACAAATAAAATTCTAGAAAAAAATAATTCTGGTTCCACAATAGTTCGAGCCCTGTGCAGCTAACCAACAATGTTGGGAGTCTTAACCCAACATTTCACTTGCAGGAGAAAGATGTGCCAGTCTGCTCCTATAAAGATTACAGCCTTGGAAACCCTATGAGACAGATCTACTATATCCTAGAGCCCCTATGTGTCATAATCGATAGGCAGCATTGGGTTTAATGTGGCTGTTTATTCTAGAAAAAAGAAATGGCTAGACCTGGCAATAAGACATAGAGACCACAGGGTGGCAGCAGTGCTTCAGTTGCAAAGGAAGATGACGCAGGTCCACCACAGCTATCAAGTGAAGATGAGGGTCTGTAAAGATTTAAAGCACCATACACACCTCTTTCCCTACAGGGTAGGGGCAGGCTGAGTAATCCTGATCAACATAGTTTCTCCTTCTCCCAGGTCTGGTCTTGGCTTTTCCCTTTGAAAAATTCCTCCCTGGACATGACACCTGGCCCCTCCTTTATGCTTTATTCCAGAAGTTAGATGATTAGTTGGAGCTCTCCAACCTGTTGAGGGATTGGGGGTTCTTGTAAGGTCCCCCCCAGGGGCCTGGCTCTGAGAAAGCTTCTGCAATTAATGATTCTTCCTGAGCTCTGGAGACAGGATTTATGCATCTAATAAAGTCTGTAACTCCAGGCTTAGGGGTTGGGGGCTGGAGGCTGACAGCAGGGAGTCCCTGGAGGGCCATGGGAGGGGGTCCCAGGAGGCTCTTAATGGAGTCATGCATTTCCATTGCCTACTCTAAATTCCCCTTCAGGCAACTGTGGGCGGGTGGAGGGGGAGACAGGGGACAGCAGGTATAAGAGACGGGTGGGGCTGCAGGAAGGCGGATGGCAGCATGGATTCCAGGCGGGCATCTGTGCTGCTGGTGCTACTGCTGCTAATAGCTGACTGGGGCCACACTAAAGAACCAGGAGACCAGAATGCATACCAGACCTCAGTGGTAAGTGTGAGACCCCACCCCTATTGCACACCACTCTCTTCCACCCTGGCTTGAAGTTTGCACTCTAGGTTCTAATACCTCCCTAGTTACGGGTGTCTTCGCTGGATCATCACAGCTGAGAAAATGGCTCCTCAGCACCTATAACTTGGGTCCCTTGAGACCACCTTTTTCTTTGAGACTGAAAAATCCCAGGCATTTGGCCATTAGATTCCTTCCCTGGTGCCCCCTTGCCACAGGAGGAAGACAATGGACTCCATACAATGCAGGACACCCAGGCCCCTGGGTCACTCTTGGGATCCCTGCTCCAGGCGATGCAGAGATCCAGCCGGAGCCCAGCTTTCCTGTTTCAGCCCCAGAGGTGAGTCTGAAAGAACACATGAGCACAGCTGGGGTGGAAAGGGCAGGGGACAGAGGAAGAGAAAAAGAAATGGGGCTAGAGAAGGGCAGCAACTAAAAAAGCCTACATCTGAGATTGACTCTTCTAGGTTTGGCAGAAATACCCGAGGATCCTGGGGCAGTGAACGGCTGAGTCCCCGGGCTTGGGAGGGGCTGAACTCCCAGTTCTGGAGCCTGGCTGCCCCACAACGCTTTGGGAAAAAGTGACATGTCATGCTCTCATGTATTTGCATGCAAGACCCACACCCAAAAGTATTATGTATCCCCCAAATAAATGGCCCAGCTTCTGAATCCAACTGTCTGTGATTCCAGTGGGCTGGGAGAGAGCCCCCTTTATCTCCACCAATCCAAACTCACCAAGAATATAGCTGACAGGTTCTTAAATATTACTGTTCCCAGCCTCATGCTACCAGAAAGGAAAATATAGGGATGTACTTGGGGTGGGAGCAGGGAAAACCAAGGAGCAAAAAGAAGCCAAAAAGTAACCTGGCGCTCACCATTCTCCTCTGCCATCACACTACTCAGGGAAACAGACCTGGGTTTACGAATTCAAGGAAGCAGCATGTTTATTCTGGGCTCTAGGAGAGAGGCCCAATATCCTTTCCACTCCATCATCACCACCAATAAAATGAGGACACATCCCGGATTGGCTAAGGCACTAAGGTCTCGGGCTCCTTGCCCTGCGCTCTCCTCAGCCTCAAGGCAGGCAGTCTGTGTCAGAGGTAGAGAGGGCACCTCCAAAGGGCACCAGAGCTGAATACAGATGCGTGGGCCAGGGGCAGGAG